GCAGAAATTGGGACTCATCAGACCAGACCCATCAAACATTTTTTCTTAATCTTCCATTGTCCGATTTTGGTGAGCCGATTACAATGTAGCTTCATTTCCCGATCTTTGCAGAGAGGAGTCACACCCAATGTGGTCTTCTGCTGCTGTAGCTCTTCTGCTTCAAGGTTCGGCATGATGTTTGTTGAGAGATTCTCTCTTGCTTTTCTTGGTTGTAATGAGTTGTTATTTCAGTTACTGGTGACTTCCTGTCAGTAAACCCAGTAATGCATTGAGTTGCTGCCATGTAATTGGCTGACTAGATATTTGCATTAATGAGGGGTTGAGCAGGTGGTGCTGAATTTGGCAATGTAGTATTTAGGTTACAGAGAGGAGAAAGAAAAACTCCTCTGTTTTCAGTCAGGATATTTCATTTTGTGTGCTTCAAGTTCAGCTGTTCTTGTTTCTAAAGTAACAAAAGTGCATTAACATACTGCTGCAGTGGCCTTTTAATTTTCTGTCTTGATTCTTTATTCATTACTGTGGCATAAAAAGCACAAGTGTAGGCATTATTATTTCAAACTTATGATCATTTATGCAGAGGTTACATAAAAACCAAAAACTCCCAGGAAGTGTCTGGACTCAGCACATCTCTGCTCCTCTACTGACGTTTTAAAATTCTCATGAGACACCAGATTTAAGATGACAGCTCAGCCGGCGCTCCATTCATATAACATGAACACATTTCACCAGTCGTCTTATATTCTTATCCTCCTTACTCGGCTTTGTTATGAAAAGAAATTAATCATATAAAAGGAGTTTTACGGTTTTCTTTAATCCCCACAGTGAATAAAAGACAGAGGACACACTTCACATCGGTAAAAATAAGAACATTCACAATATATCTAATTTTAGCTAATATGCAGACAGCAAATGACAGAAGTAACACATATAATCACAATTATTATTATTTTTAACGAAATGTACAATTCAATAACCTGCAAAAATCCATGCAGCATTTGGATGTTATTTCACCAGTGATTAAAAAAAAGGTGTGTTAGCTGTGTTAGCAAAACCACTTTTTTTTTCATCATAGTGTCATTTTACATTCTATGCAACTTAAACACGCAAAGTTACACACTTCACAAGGACACTTAACCTGGACACGAAAAACAAACATGTGTCAGGACACAAAAAAACTGTAAGACATGCACAGAGGAAAGGAGATGACATAATTATGAATGTCATAATAAACTTTTCAATGCAAAAAAGCACTTCAAGAGTTTGAAATGGCAACAAGTACGATAATTAGCAGGGAATAAATAATGTGCTACATAAAGAAACAATCAAAAGTTTTGTCAAATTGTAACTAAATTCCAAACTGTAATTACTTTGACTATCACAGCAGGACACCCAGAAAAAATAATGACTGTATTTTAAAACTGTGACGAATAATGAAATTCACGTCTTTGTTCTGCAAATGTCGAGACTCAAATGTTTTAATCAGGACTTCGGTTTGCTTTTAACTTCAACATTTGCCCCTAATTTTTATTTACACTGATCAGCCACAACATTAAAAACACTGACAGGTGAAATTAATTACACTTATCATCTTGTCAACAACGTGGTGTTCCGCTTAGAAAACTTACATCCTGTTGTATGCTATGGTTAGTGATACATTGTCATTTATAGGCATGTGCTAGTGTGTCTGCATTGCTCTTCCCTGTAAAACTGACCTGATCATGTAGGATTAGTGCTAATAAATTCTGAGCTAGGAAAGCAAGAGTAGGGGTATCTACTCCAGACAAAAACTGCCCAGAAACAGATCCCAAGGTGGTGATCCAGCCCCCAAACTTCTGCAGCATGTGTTAGATGCCCTACAACACACCCAGTCTACAGGATGACCTACACATATGATCAGAGCTGTTTTTGCTACAGAAAGGGGGACGGCACAATATTTAGCAGCCAGTCTAAATGTTGTAGCTGATCTGTGTTTTCATTCGAGTGCAGACTTTTCTTCGGATTTAACGACAGTTTATACTTTTCAAATTAAACAGCACTGCTCAGAACATGACTTGAGGTCATTTAAGGCAGCGGTCCCCAAACCTGGGCCTCGGACCGGTACCGGTCCGTGAGTCGTTTGGTACCGGGCCGCGAGAGTTGAGGCTCAGGTGTGAAATGTATAGTTTTCAGGGTTTTTATCGGTTTTCAGCGTTATTTTGTTATCGTTTTTATCGTTAACTCGGTTTTCCTGGGTCTTTTCACGTGTGTTATGAATAAATCTTTTTTTCGGTACCGGTACTAGTTTTATTTTGTTGTACTTTTCCGCGACACCTTAAAAGCCGGTCTGTGAAAATATTGTCAGGCATAAACCGGTCCGTGGCGCAAAAAAGGTTGGGGACCGCTGATTTAAGGGATACTTTAAGGTCTGGATAAGAACAAAAGGGGTAAAATAGTTCAAAATTTTAGGACACAAAAAAATAGTTGAGCAAATCAATTCCATTCTCATATCTGTACAGTAAATATGAAGCTTCAGGCCCCCGACTTAAAGCTGCAAACAAGAGAAAACCACTTCATAGCTGGCCAACTAGTAATGATTATGTAAAAGAGCGTTTTTGTAAACAAATAAGATATAAAACATTTTAATAGGGGAAATTCAGAGATGCTATTCGGTGGATTTTGTTACCTTTTATGACCCATTTTCATTTTTTATTCTAAGGTAACCTACTGTAACCTGTTGCTGGCTGTATATTTTAGCTGGCAGATATGAATGCTCATATTTTCTTTAAAAAACAAAAAAAAGCTCTTGCATTTGAAAAAAAGAACTTCTGGAAATAAAGCTACCTTATTATCTGCCTGCATCTCCGCCCAGTCTTTTATTCAGTCCCCTTCCTGCGAGCCACAGATGATTCATGAGAGCCCATAAGAGGATGTATTCTTCATAATATACTGTATAATGCATCCTTGGGTTTTCATCCAGTGTGCTCCAGCTGAGAACAATGCAGTGTCTGTTGCTCAGGAAATAACCAACTACGTGGCCTGCAGCAGCAAAAAAAAAACGACTGCACACAAACGAGTGCATCAACAAAAAACAAACAAACAAACAAAAAAGGCATCAATGCTTAAATTAAAAACATGCCACAAAAGGAGGATTGGAGATAAACAGAAAAAAACAGCACTCTTCTTCCACTTGTGAGTAAACAAACAAAAAGCCTTCAAATAATTCATCAAAAAACCCTAAAAACACGTCAAACGTGTCTCACAGAAAGTCTGTTTCTTGTATTGATGTGAAGCACTTTACAATGTAGGTTGAAAACTACAGCAGAAATGCAACTGCCTGTTGGAGAGCTGCCAGATGACTGCACAATTGCGTGCTGAGCGAGATGTATAAAACATGTATGTTAAATGTTTAACATGCATGGCCTACTGTACCTATCCACGCTTCAGTGTCTATGGCTGTTTTTTCCCCACAGGAAGGAGAAGAAGTATGATTTCTAACTCTGCCGGCCCAGATTTCATTTTCATGCTCTAATACTTCACGTACATGTGGAGGACACTTTGATCCACTGCTACCCGTCGTGCTGGGATTCCAAACACCTCTTGAACACGCGCCATCCCCGAGGAAATCTGACCGCTGACCCCGCCTGTGTTACGGCCGTCTCCTATCCGCTGAGCTACACCGGGAGGAATTTAAAGCAGCGCGGTTTTACATTTTGCCGATGCTCTCATCAGCTGGGCTGACTTATAACGAGTGACAAGGTGACAACAGTTTTAAGTAGAGATGCAGAGCTTTCGCTGTGCTCTCTTGGACTGAAACATACTGTTGTTTTCAGAAGTGCATCAGATACACAAGAACGCAGAAAGCTTGATTTTACTGATGCGCTAAAACTGCCCTAAAATTGACAATAAAATCCACATGCCAGCTTTTTCCACAGCTTTCAATCACAGAAGACTGTCTTCATCAGGGGAAGGCTTTGCTCAGCTGTCATACAGATCAAGCAGTCGAAGTGTAATCTCAATAGGATTTCTTATAAGCCTGCAAGAAAGTTCTGTCTAGACCATGGAAATAATGGTTAGAGCCCATTACTGTAACTTTCGTTCAAAACTTAAACTACTTTGTTAGTTTTTGACTGATTTAGGGATTCAAATAAATAAGCTTGAACACAAAAAATTGTAACAAAAAGCAGTTTTCACGCATGGACTGCTGCACAGAACCTTTCTAGGACTAACCCAACAAAGGTGGAGGTGAGACTGCAAATGTCTAATGCTTTTAAATCAGCCATTAGCTGGTCTTTAACCCGCCAGCTCACTTGTACAAAGGCTGTATGACGAGTGCCGACGTGAGAGCAGATCATCTAATATTACATGCAGCGAGTGCATCATGTGTAATGCCTCCAGGAAGTCTTATTTAGGCAGCTCCCTCACCTAAACAACACAGAGTATTTCCAGGATGGCGAACGCATCTAAAACTGACTATTTCCTGCTGTGCGATACATATGAGGAAAGACAACTCCCAACCTGATTCTCACAAAATTGTCCAAAGTGCATGTGTGAAAAACGGCTTCAGGCAAACAACACTGACAGAGAGAGTTTAGAAAACTGTTACAAAGTAAACTGTTAGAGGTGGAGCCTGAAAGTCCTTTAGTGTACCTGTTCAAAGTAGAAAACTCTGAAAAAAGAAAAACCTTTAAAAGTACTTTGTGGAGTTTGTGACCTCTAATATTGCTGATATTGAATGTTTGTTTGTTTCTTTTTTTCTACGAGTGGCTCCGCATTTTGTTTGTCACAAAATGGTGCTATGAGAGTGTTTTTTGAGTAGGGAATCCATTCATTGTAGCTGTCAAACCTCAAGGATACGCACAATGACTTCTGAATGTAAATCTAAATGTTCTTTATTGATTAAAAAAAAAACTCCACAAAGTGCCTTTAATCTTGAGTTACATCCGATACCTTTGTTTTTCAAGGTCTCCAGCTACATCTTATGGGCCTTAAAAGCAGCTTAGA